CCGGCGGGCTCCGGGTTGGGGACCACGGGACTAGGTAGTTCGGACTAGGCTTCCTATTCTGAACTACCGTTACTCCTCAGGAGTAACTCCTCAGGAGTTTCACGAGGAGTAACGGTAGTTCGGAATAGGAAGCCTAGTCCGAACTACCTAGTCCGTGCCACGTGTAGCTGCGGGGCACAGAGTCCGCACTAGCGGACATTTAAAAATGGCAGCGCCCGGCAAGATGCAAATGAAGCCCGGGAAATTCAAATCCCGGGCTTCATTTGCAACTCCGGTTGCCTACATTACTACCCTAGTTCGAACTAGGGTGGTAGTGTAGACATACCCTATGAGACTTAGGCTCCTGTATCACAAGGTTCCTAAGTCACAGAGGACTTCTGAATTTTTCACTCAGTATTGTCAAATTCAGAATGATGGGAAATTAAACCACAGGTATAGGGATACTACATCATTTACCTGAGACAGGAATATTTTAGGTGCATGCAGTTGTTTTTATTGTATTTCTCATTTTTTCTCCTTTGCTACAATAAAACTTCAAAGGCTTATTGTCACTTAGAACACCTCTTTTAAAGCCAGCTCCACCTACTTTTTCATCTCTGCTCATACTAGTTATGTGCTTATAATAATACAAAGGAATCTGCATGATTTCAAGTGTATGACTCACTGCCAGCACATCCACACATATAATTTCAATTTTTCATGCATGAGAAACATTTAAAACTGTAGACGTTTGGGCTTTCACAGCACAAAATCAGCAAAATATGTAAGCCTTGTACATAAAACCTGAAGTTACTCAAGTTAAACTCTAATTTTGATACATAAATTGAAATGTGATCCAATGGGTATTGGGAAAGCATTTTCAGAAAGTGGGTGAGATCTTAGCTACATCTTTCAGTACTTCACACCACAAAGCCAGCAAATCCAGCAACCTGAGGTTTCACTCCACATTCTCTAAAGCTCAATGCCTCTCATGTTAATCAGATAACTGAGGTGGTACTGTGTATGGCCCTATAATGATCCACAGATTAAGAAGTATAAGGAAAAAAAGAAATAAATATCAAATAGATGTAAAATACACAATTTCATGTAGAAAATGAAATGCATAAAATACCATTGGGTATGTCTACACTACAGTGTTATTTCGAAATATCTTATTTCGAAATAGTTATGCCAAAATAGCTTATTTCAAAATAACGGGTCTACACACAAAATGCATTTTGAAAGAGCATTTTGCTATTTGGAAATAGCATGTCCACACTCAGTGGACTCTGAATCGCATTTAAGGCCGGCTGGAACCAGTTCCGGCAGGATACAAGGTCAGGACTTACTGTGCGGGGCTGCTGCCTGAGGCTGTCTGAGATCTGTGCTTAAAGGGACTTTCCCGGACAGCCAGTTCTCAGGTTTCCCTGCTTGCTTGTCTACCTTGATGAGGGACAGCAAAACAGTTTGTCTCTGTGTGCTCTGGTTGCCCTCACTTGGGACACCACAGCACTCTGCAACATGGAGCCGGAGCTGCCCCTGGGCACTCTGGTACTTCTCATAGACGTGTTGCTACAAGCCTGGCTTCACTTTCTGCAGGCTGCCATCCAGGAGGTCCATCAGGGGGCTGTCAGTATCTAGGAGGCCCCGCAGGAGAGCTTCCAACCCTGAGGAGCACTTAGAGCCTCCCTGGTCTGCCCCACTGGGGGCTTGTGCCTTATTCCTCCCTCACATCCTTCCACTTACCCCTCCTAGCCCCCCTTCCTGATGTCAAATAAAATACACGTATTTTCATGAACACAAACTCTCTTTATTTAACAAAACTGGGGGGGAGGGAATGAAACTCTGGTGAGACTGGGGAAAAGAGGTGGGAGAGGAGAGAAGAGAGGGTGGGAGAGAGGAAGGAGAAACCTGGGAGGAAGGATATGGAAGGGGGAAGCAAGGGGAAGAAGAGAGAGGCTCAGGGCTCACGGTTGGGAGGTCTTGCCAGACCAACTTAATTTTTATGCAAACCTGCTCCTGGATTCACATGTGGCCTTTGGTGGCCAGGCTGGCAGCTATCCTGCCCTAGACAGCTGCATTCCTCCATCTAGTGCAGAGATCATGGATGTTGGAGGCATCCCCCCAAACCTGAATAAGATCCATGATCTCTACCCTGGACCAGGAAGGCACCCACCTTCTCTGGGCCCTGGCAGGCTCCTGGGAGCTGGCAGACTGCTCCTGGGGAGCGGTGGGGGCCTGGCTGCCAGTGGCTTGCTGGCTCATGTTTTGGGGCCACTGGGTCAGGGGCAGTGACTGCTGGCTCTGGGCTGGCAGGCTTGGAGCTGGCACAGGCACTGTGGCCAGAGTCAACCCCTTTAAGGACTACAAGGAGGGAGAGAAGTGTTCTTGGTTGAGGCTGGAGTGGGGCACCCTGGGAAGGCTGGAGGCCCCCTATTTTGAAATAAGTGTCTACACAGCACCTATTTGGTGTTATTCCTCATGGAATGAGGTTTACCAAATTCAAAATAAGAGCTCCACTATTTCAAATTTATTTCGAAATAGCGGTTTGGCTGTGTAGACGCTAGGAAAGTTATTTCGAAATAAGAGCTGTTATTTCAAAATAACTTTGCTGTGTAGACATACCCTTATTCTCTATCCCTTTCTTAATTATTCCTAACATTCTGTTTGCATTTTTGACAGCTGCTGTACATTGAGTAGATAATTTCAGAGTATTAGTCACAATGATGCCACTATCTCGCTAATCTGGTCCCCATCATATTATGCATATAGTTTGGATTATGTTTTTCAGTATGCATTTCTTTGCATTTATTAATATTAAAATTAATCTGTTTCAAAATTCTGTAATTTTAAAAGACTATTTCAATTTCAGTGTAGCCAACTCTTCCAATTCTATCATGAGTCTGTCACTATTTTGTAAATCCCATCTCCTAGAGTTATGAGATTATGTGAGATTGGTATGTGTATTTTAAAGCAAGTTTCTAGCACTCACAGGTGTGGAGCACAGTTGGAAAAGAACTCAAACCATTTTTTAAATCTTGTTAGTTGAGGGAGAGGAAAGTTGACTCTAGGTTTTTGAATGGTTAGGGTTTGAGATCATTCCCCTGACTGTCAGGCTGGAAAGTTTGGAATCTGCAGGTGCTTGTTAACGATGTGCTTGGAACGGGCCTCTGATAGCAAGGAAGGGGGATTTCCTGATGTTTAACAAGGCTGTTGTTACCTGAGGAAATCAGGTGCTCGTATTATCATGTGCTGAAAATCTTCCACAGAGAGTTTGCCATCATTGTCTTGATCAGCTTCATCAATCACCTTGTCACATACAAGACAAACCTCCTCGGGGGTAAGTTCATTTCGGGTCAGTTTGTTAACGGTTTTCTCCAAGTCTGATTTGCATATGTAATCATCGTTGTTAAAATCTGTCCAAGGAAACAGAGTTAAATTCAAAATTACAAAGCGCTGTCCTCCACATATCTCCCAGGCTTTTCATGGAGAAAAGCTGCGTGTGCCTCAATATCAAATCCCAATACTTCTGAATAATTGCCAAATAGAATTTTAGACTTTTAGGATACATCTAGATTACACGCTTTTGTCGACATGTTTTGTCAACAGATACTGTCAACAAAGCTTCTGTCGACAAAGAGCATCTAGACTACATCCAGTTCTGTCGACAAAGGAAGCCGCTTTGTCGACATGACAGTGTAGACGCAAAGGACAGTGTAGATGCAATAACACCTTCTGTCAACAGAACTCTGCCGACAAAAGGTGTTATTCCTCGTAGAATGAGGTTTACAGACATTGACAAAACTGCTAAGTTCTGTTGACGTGTTGACAGAACTCAGCGGCAGTGTAGTTTTGTTGACAAAAAGTAGGTATAGTTTTGCTGACAAAAGTCCACTTTTGTTGACAAGCCCTGTAGTCTAGACACACCCTTACACTCCTTGTAATTTTTAATTTGTATTTATAAAATTACTTAAAAGGCACCCACCCACAAGCTCTGCATACTCAATCATATAGATCCCAGATAGCAAATCAATATTAACGAACTGAAGGCATTATAACACAGTCAAAAGAACTGTTTGATTTTCTCCTCTCCCCCATGCTGAGTCACTTCCACTTCAGAGTGGAAGAGAATTTAAGAGAACTTTCTGTCCTGTTTGTGTTGCACAATAAGTTGTTCGGCTTTTGTTGTAAAGAAAAATCAACTGAAAACAATATTAAAAGAGAGACTAAATTATTTCTAATAACAGAGAGGTAACCGTGTTAGTCTGATCTTGGAGAAACAAAAAAAGCAGTCATGTAGCACTTTAAAGGCTAACAAGATAGTTTATTTGGTGATGAGCTTTCATGGGGCAGACCCGCTGATCTGAGGAAGTGGGTCTGCCCCACGAAAGCTCATCACCTAATAAACTATCTTGTTAGTCTTTAAAGAGCGACATGACTGCTTTTTTTGTTTTAAACTATTTCTGTTCTTAAACTTGCCCTCTGAGAAACTCTGCTATAAAACAAGGCTTTTCAAAGACCCCATTGGAGTTGAGGTACCTAATTTCACGAAGGCTGAGCATTTCAAAGCACCTAATAGCTTTTTTCTTAAATGCTGCTTCCTCTAATCATGAGGATGGGAGATGAAACAACTAATCTGATGGAAGCACTGTGAATTCTCCAGCAGATGTCACACTCTAATCAGCTGTATCTTTCAGTCCCAGTAAGGCCAGATCTGAGCAACTCAAGTGCTTAATTAAATACATTTTTAAAGGGGAAGGATATTCCAGGGCACAAAAGAATTGAATGGCAAGACAAAAATGGATATGTGGCAAAGGCTGTAGGACCTGTAAATTTACTATGGTAAGAAAAATGGAAGTCACATCTAGATATCTCTGCATCTGCTGAGATGGAAACACAGTATATGCACCAGGAGAATGAGAGCCAGCTACTTTAGACAGGAATCATGGAACAAATCAAAGTTGATCACCTTACTGAAGAGAGACGTCCCTGAGGTATTTGGCATAACAGCATTGGAAATGTTCTTGGTGGGTGTGAACTCCCAGAAGTAAGTAGGAAATAAGAGTAATGTGGTCTTCCACTCTGCCCCCTAACTCCAGACCCCCACAATGAGATATCTGGTCAAAGACATCATTGTTAAATGTTAATCAAACCTTACATTGATAGGTTAATGTGCTCTACTATGTGAGATGCATGGATGACCAGAAAGAGCATGTCTGAACATGCCAGGTAAGCCAGTCAGGGACCCAAACACCTGTTCGGTATGTAGCAAAGTAGTTGGCACTGGATAGCAAGTGCTAATGGTGGGTTTACCACAGAGTCGTCCCAGGATAGAATTTTTTTCATAAGAAAAAAGAAAAAGCTATAACTGCTCAGGCAAGGTACAGCTGGCTGAAGAATTTATAGAACCTATGTGTCCTCCTTAGCCTTGAGCTACAGTTAAATTTTTACCAGTATAACTATTTCAGTTAGAGCTGTGGAAACAAAACACACACACACTTATATATTAAATAGTACAAGTCTTAGGTTACGGATACGCTGCCCTGCAGTTCAGCCTATGGGGATATGAACAGCCATATACACCAAAGTTGTCCCCTGTAACTCTCCTGTGTGGAGGCTGTGGGCACAAATAACTAAGGGTATGTCTACATTACCCCTCTAGTTCGAACTAGGGAGGTAGTGTAGACATACCCAAGGTTCCTAGTAGCCCTGTTTGAAGAGGATTATGCTAGTGTGAACTAACAATATGCTAGTTCATGCCTGCAGCAGCCACACAAGGGAATTACAGAATAGCACTTTGATGCATATTGTTGCTATTCACAAGCATGTAGTCCAAACAGCTAGACAGAGTACACAAGTAACTAGCAGGGACAGACTTATACTGGTGACTTATACCATTATGGCAATTCCCCTTTATGGGAAAAAGCTATGCTGCTATAAGCACTTTTGTTTTGCTGTAACTGTGTCTCTGGAGAGACCAGGGGCTCGGGGAAGGGAATACATTTTAACTACACTGGTGTAGGTTGTTTAAAAGGGCCTGCATGGGAAAAGTGCTTTCAAACAGATTCTTGAAATGGAGGCTGTGCGTTACCATCATGGTCAGTATGTTTAAGAATATGTGGCAAAGGATATGTGGCAAAGTCTCTGGGTTTGGTTTTGAATCCTCCATCAACTGGGGACAGCTCGACAGATGTTTGAGGCTTGGTCTACATTAGGAAGGTATGTCAGTGTAACTACACTATGTTGCTCAATGGTATAGAAAATCCACACCCCCAATGACGTAGTTGTACCAACACCACCAGCATCACCCTGCTGTCGGCAGCACTACGCCGATAGGAAGTCTTCTCCTGTTGACATAGCTACCGCCTCCTGAGGAGGTGGAGCACTTATGTCAACAGGATATGCTCACTCATTAGTGTACATAGCATCCTCACTGAAGTGCCACAGCAGCGCGGTTGCATCACTGCAGAGCTGTAAGTGTAGATCTGTCCTAAGAGAGGCTGCGTTGATGAGGGCCATATACGTACCAAAGTACGTACACAGACCATGTATAGATGGCAGTTGGCAGTGCAAATCTTAAGTGCTTTTGCATCAAGAAACCTTGAGTCATGTACAGCACCAGGATTTCCTCCAAACTTTACTATGTAGGCCTATCTCACTCACCATAGATTTTAAAGGCATAATAAGCTTTGAGGTCTCTGGGAGCCATTTCACTCAGAACTGAAAACATGTCCAAAAAGTCATCTAAAGTCATGTTGCCATCTCCATCCTCTGAGAAAACCTCGGCAATCCGCTGACGGAATGGATTGTCCTGTGGAACAGGGATGCAGGATATAACAGGTCTGTCTTCACTATCATTTAGGTCAAAGCGCCTGATGGGCTCCATCATAGCCCAGCTATGTCCGGTTCTGCCCCCCTCTTCATTTTAACCCAGGTGTAGCAGACAAACACCCCTTTGCTCTATTACTCTTTTATGTACTACGGCTGACGTGGAGACCAGGAGGGCCAGCGTCAGCTTTCTCTGTCCTACATGGTGCTTCAAAATGTTTTCAAAGGCAACTACTGGACCTTTCCAGAAGGATGTTGGAATTGGAGAGCTATTCCCCAGGGAGCCAGGATTCAGATAGCTTTCAGCCTCCCGGTAATTAGTACAGGATGAATTATTTAGCAGAAATGGATGAAAGTGAAATGTGGCTCCCTATCTACCATCTGTGTTCCTTGGACTGTACCTTCAGCTCTGGCATGCTGCCAATGAGTTCATAGGGGAGCTTCACATCTGGTTTATCTATGTAGCTGAGTGGGACCAGCTGTGGGGCCAGGTCTCGGTATCGGTAAAACAGTCTGGAAAGGGAAAGAAAGGCTCATTTAGGGCTCTGTGTACGCTAATAAAATGTGTTTCTTTTCCATATTGCAATATGCTTCATGAAAGGAAGAAATGTAGTATTTAGTATACTTCTTGTGTAATATATTAACCAGACAACGTATTTTCAGTGTTACATAAAAAGGAGGGGGGACGTCTCTTTGAGAACAAGACAACAGTACTGTCGGAAACCGAATGACACAAGCCGTTTTCCAACTTTATTTAGTAGTTTCCCACAGCCTCAGTGATTCTTCCATTTCACTCCGCTAGCCTGACACTACTCTGACACTGCTCATTTTTACATGATTGAAGGCTGTTCCTTTCAGTAACACAGTTCTCAAAGGCTAACCCATCCACAACTCCATTCTAGAGAAAGTAAAACAATATAAAAGGGTATATCTAACTATATGAATTATTCGCACTCAGCCCCCATCTCTTTCCCACCTCCCCCGCCCAATATTTACTGACACCTTAGTGCTTTATTTACACTCACTGAAGATTTTAGTCTTAAGAGGCCAGAGTGTGCTTCCTCATACTCTCAAGGACATTCCACGGTCAGCCTAATTTTACCTTTTGACTCTGCTAGTCCTTTGACACTCTGAACCAGGTTCTCTTTTTTGGCTCCAGCCCTTTGGCTCCTGCCTGATTATGTATTATTTGTATTACCATAGCACCTGCACACCTCAGTCATGGACAAACAGGCACACTCTGTCCTCCAAACAATTTACAGTCTAAGTTGGCTGCCACCTCTCATGCAGCTGACTCATAAATGTTTTAGAGGCTTGTTAAGAAGTTGGTCAGAATAGCAAGAATCACATTGCCTGTCTAAGAATTGAAAATAGTCCGATGTTGCAGCTAACTGCCCTGTGAGACAGTGATCTACAAACATATTTGCAACACACTGAAATTTCAACTGTCTCTTCAGGAGTCTCATGTAGTGTGGTAACAGGATACTAAATTCAGCAAATTTATGGTATCTCTGTGGCTCTTATTCAACTGCCTTGCATGAGGACAGGTTTCACAGAGGGAGTTGTGTTAGTCTGTTTCAGCAAAAACAAGGAGTCCAATGACACTTTAAAGACTAACAATTTTATTATCTGACAAAATGAGTTGTAACTCAGAAAAGCTTATGCCATAATAAAATGAGCTCGGCTTACACTCTGCTTTCCTTAAGTGGATTCTAATGGGAAAGGAAGCTAGAAGTGTTCTGCACTGTTTTTCCCTGTACCTGCAGTGGCACCTCATTCTGGGTTCGTCTACACTGGCCCCTTTTCCGGAAGGGGCATGTTAATTTCACAGGTCGTAATAGGGAAATCCGCGGGGGATTTAAATATCCCCCGCGGCATTTAAATAAAAATGTTCGCCGCTTTTTTCCTGCTTTTAGAAAAGCCAGAAAAGAGCGTCTACGCTGGCCCCGATCCTCCGGAAAAAAAGCCCTTTTCCGGAGGATCTTATTCCCACTTCAAAGTTCCGGAATAAGGACTTATGCCCGAGCGGGAGCAGAATAGTTTTTCCGGAATAGCGGCTGATTTTGTACAGTAGAGTGTCGTTGCTTTTCCGGAAATTCAAGGGCCAGTGTAGACAGCTCGCAGCTTATTCCAGAAAAGTGGCTGATTTTCCGGAATAAGTGGCCCAGTGTAGACACAGCCAGCCATAGATTTGTAAGGACAGAAGGGACCAATGTGATGAAAATAAGTGATCTTCAAAAGATCTCAGGGGAATTAAGAATGGGGGGTTCAATAATGAAAGTATTTTAAGCCTACCTTACCTTTGAAATGAGCGTACCTCTTTCCCCTGCAAAAACATGCAGGCAAACCCACAGGAGCTAGAAATAGAGAGAACCTCCTGGACCATCTAGTCCACCCATTGGGGGGATTGTCCTCAACCCTGTTTCCTTAGATACCTTTTTTTCTCATCTTTAAGCTTTTAAAAAATGGGTTTGTTTTACCCTTCAAATATGGGGCTCCATCCTGCCTTTTGTTGCCCACCCAAACCTCCCACTGATTTTGTAGGGACTCAGAACGAAGAGAAGGGAAGAGCTATAAACTGACCCCTAAATATGTTTCTTTTCTTCTCAATGCAATTTACTTCCAGTGTCGCATTAGACTGAGGAGCTCATTCATACTGTCACCCATGAAAATGGTATCAAACAAGAGGACAGAATTTTCTAAAGGTTTCCTATCAATTATAAATGCCTTATTTGTGATATAATTATGGTCTTGGCCTCTATTAAATACATGAAAACACAACCAGGCTTAGTTTAATTTATTAATTTCATTTGCATTTTGTACTGTGGAGCACTGATAAACAGAGACCAAGATGGGCAGAGTAGGAGATCAGGGTCTGGTGGAGAAGGGCAGTCGTCTTATGAAATTGTCTCTGCACTCTACTCAGCAAAAGATTTGGCACACTGATGTTGTGCAAGATCAGCCTTAGAAAGGGGAAGGAAATGGAAATGTTTCTGCTGATTAATTTGCTACATGACAAATAGGAAACAAAAGCTGACTTCTACAATCAAGTCCGGTGGAACAGACTCTTATGGGCTGTGTCTAAACTACAAAACGAAAAAGGGATGTAAATTAGACACTTCAAAATCGCAAATGAAGCTAGGATTTAAATTTGCATAATGGTGGTTGCAGTTTTTTTCTAAATGGGGCTTTTCGAAAGAAAAACGGCTGTTTAGACGGGGATCTATCGAAAATAAAACCCTCAGAGGAATACAGGATCTTCTGAAAAAGGGTTTTATTTTCGATAGATGCCTGTCTAAACAGCTGTTTTTCTTTCGAAAAGCCCCATTTCGAAAAAAACCCATGGCCACCCTTATGCAAATGAAGCACGGGAAATTTAAATCCTGGCTTCATTTGCAATTTTGAAGTGTCTAATTTACATCCCTTTTTTGAGAAAAGGGATGTAGTTTAGACACAGGAGTGCCAACGCCTGCCAAAGTTCACTCGGTGATGCACTGGGAGACCAGGTTCCAGTTGCCAGTTAGGACTCTTGATCCCTCAGCCAGTGTGTTACAAATCTCTAAGCCAGGGGTGGGGAACCTTTTTTGGTCAGTGGCCACTGACCCACAGAAAAATCAGTTGTGAATCACACTCAAGTGAGAAGCAAAAAAAAAAAAAAACTTCCCACACACTCAACTCTGGATGCCGGGGCTTCGCTCATGCTTCAGCCTTGCAGGGGGGCACCAAAGCTTGGAGATTTGCCATGGGGCTGGAGCATGAGCACTGGCTTGCCTTGCTGGGGGGGAAGCCCCAAGCCTCACCATGGGCTGGATCAAAGCAATGCAGGACCCAGATCTGCCTCACAGTCTGTAGGTTCCCCACCTCTGCACTAAGCCTTTCCTCTTCAGCCTCTTGTGGCTAGATGACTAATGGTCAATGGCTTGGCCTAGATGTACTATTTACTTGGAAGAGGTTCCAAAATTTCTGGAAATGAGTGATTCAGGCTAACTTAGGCCTTGTGCTCTAATGAGGCACCAGGCTTCAAAATATCACCACAGCTTTTTACACATAAAGCTAGTGGGCAGCATCATGTTGTCTCAGCTAAAGTTTTTAGGCTACTTTGATCCGGCCATGTTTACTGTGGAATCATTTTTGTGAAATAATTTAATCTCTAATCTTGTTTCATGGGATTTGGGGCTTGTAAAAATGTCTCCGGAAAATATCATAAATGCAGATGCAAAAAGTGACACAAAACAATAGCTGCTCTGTGGACAGCACTGGATTGTCAAGGCAAAGGTAAAAAGTTTTTACTTTAGCTTTAGCTCTGTTTTCATGGGCAAACAAAATGAAGCCAACGTAAATCATGGAAAACAGCATGCTGCAGGGTCAAAGCATAATCATTTAAAAGCTAGAACAATCCTGCTTTGTAAAGAGAGTAAATAGAGGCATGAATAACATTTTTATATCTCAAATTTATATACATCTAAGAAATTATAGTTACCTTTAAGAAATTAAATTTTCATGGCACATAAATATTTCTGAACTTATAATATAAAGACAATAGAACAAGATAATACACTAGTCAGAAAGCATTTAATCAAATAGATGGTAGCAATAGTCTGTGTAGCACTTGTTATAAACCAGGTAGAGGGGAATGGGGCCTCCTAGCAGAGTATTAGATGTAACTTGTTATAGTGTTTTACATGGGAGTAGCTGGCATGTTAATAGAATTATAGATTTTTGGCTTAACTAACGACATTGAACATGATTTTTGTGCGTGTGTGTGTCTACTTCACTTATCGCAATAATGCCATATTAAATCCTATTTAAAACTTAATAAAAAGATTACTAAGATTACTAGATGAGTGGCCTTACTTTTTAATAATCTCCTTATAGTTTTACAGACAAAAAATATAGACGCACCTCAGAATTTCTTTCCTTGTAAAGAATGTGCAATCCTGTAAAATATGGAAAGATAGAAGATGTGATGGTGAGTTATTTTTGCTTTTTTATTTTAAACACTAGCCCAAATTCTTTTCTGTACAAGTGCACTAATTTCACTTGACTCATATTATGGATAAAGCTGGCCCAACCTTTATAAACTTTCTGTTCAACTATAGAGTCATGTTTGACAGTTTTTTCTCTCTTAAAAGAAGATAAAGGAATATTAAACAGCCATAAACCATTTACTCTAAAGACTTCAGATAGTATTTCATATTCCTGTTTAGCACCATGAAACTAAGTGCTGGAGACTGCTTTAAAACAACCTGCCATTTCCTGGCATTGTGTCTAACTTGTCTTTTATTTGTTCTTACCTGATACGCATCCAGCTGCTCTGGAGTGAAAATGGTTTGCTTATTGCCCATTTCTGTCTCTAAATCCTGATTTTTTTCCCATATTTCAGATAGTATTTCATATTCCTGTTTAGCACCATGAAACTAAGTGCTGGAGACTGCTTTAAAACAACCTGCCATTTCCTGGCATTGTGTCTAACTTGTCTTTTATTTGTTCTTACCTGATACGCATCCAGCTGCTCTGGAGTGAAAATGGTTTGCTTATTGCCCATTTCTGTCTCTAAATCCTGATTTTTTTCCCATATCCCTTTCCCGTTACGTTACCTTTACAGGAAGGCTGAATATTGAGATATGAAAAGCTGCAACAATGAGGTTCAGACAGAGGAGGATCAGGTAACCAACCACCTTCCCTGCTCCATAGATTTCAGAATCATAATAGGAGCATTTCATCAAATCTTTAGTCTGAATACACAAGACTCTCATACAGCATCATTCATTTGCTTCCTGTGTGCTCTGCAGAGACTCATATTACAGCATTTCACAAACAACTAACACAATTTCTATCCCTTGTCTCTGTGCTACATAGAGGACAGTATGGATTTTAGTTTTATGCTTCCATCAATTAAATTCACATATACAAAAAGTCTTTCTTCCTTCAACATTCAGCAATTCACCTTAAAAAAGAATCACAGTAGGTATGGTCCTGAGTCCTTTTCTTAATGTTCATTGTAATACACATTCTACATCATATGTTAATACTGTGCTGTATTTTTCACTGTGTATAGCAATACTATATTTAAGCTCTTCCTCATTTTTTAACATCCATCCCATGCCAGCGTTGGCACTTAATGGAGAAATCATTCCTCTCTGTCGTGTGCTGCTGCTTCCAGAGCTATCCATATGATGGTTCAGGACAATCACCCAGGGCCCACACTTCGGGATGTCCCGCACTTCAGGGGACATACATACAGGTCTTGGGTGACGCCAGGGCTGATGGCAGCATGACTGTCCCTGCTCCACTCCACTTGCTCCTGGCATCACTCGAGAAGAGGCAGAATGGGGGCAGGGCAAGGGTGAGAAGAGGCAGAACAGAGGTGGAGAAGGGGTGGAAGTTTGGGGAAGGAGTCAAATGGGGCAGGGACAGAAAAGGGCAGGAAGAGGTGGATGCGGGCAAGGTCTGGGGTGGAGGATGGGGGGGGGGTTGTCCTGAGCCCCATGCCCTGTTAGGGATGGCCTGGGCTGCTCCATAGTTTGGGGATTGACTATTCAGCCCTCCCTGCTAAGGTTTCTCTGATGCATGCTCATTTCTCATACCGGTTGGTTTCCATTTGACACCTTCACGTGTGAGTCTGTGTCAGCGTTTGCAGTACATGATCCAAAAATCACAGACTCACAGAACTGGACGGGACCATCTATCCCTGTCCACTGTACTCACAGCTGGACTAAGTATTAGCTAGACCAGCCCTGACAGATGTTTATCTAACCTGCTCTTGAAAATCCCCTGTGATGAAGAATTCATAACCTCCCTAGGCAATCTATTCCAGTGCTTAACCACTCTCAGTTAGGAAGTTTTTCTTAATGTCTAGCCTAAACCTCCCTTGCTGCCACAATTCTGAGTTTCCCCCTGGGTGAGGTGGCTGCAAACTTCACAGCCATAGGGGTACATGGCTATTGTTCCTCCACCTTAAGTAATTCCTCATCGCCAGGGCAGCGTAATGGTTCTCCATCACCATAGTAGGCAGGTTGGAAGTAGGCGTACAGCACTGTCTGCTGCTGGAAGTAACCAGCAGCCAGTGTCCTCCCTGTGATGGGCTAGGTCTACACTGCAGGTATTTGCCAGCAGAGAGTATGCTAATTAAGTGCACATTAGCATTTGTCCCACTGTCATTTGCATATCTCTGCCAATGCTTTTTGTGCAAGAGGTTTTTGAGACGTCTTCGCCAAAGGATCAATGCCCACAAAACAGATATTAGACAGGATCACAAAGAAAAAACAGTTTCTTGCCATTTCAACCAGAAAGGACACTGTCTCAACGACTTAATTACCTGCATCCTGCTTCAGAAGCCTTTTAAATATGCACTTGAAAGGGAATCCTCTGAACTGTCATTCATGCTAAAATTCGACACTCTACGTGGGGGGCTCAACAAAGACTCTAGCTATCTTACCCATTACAAAGATAGCCTCTCCAATTATCACCTCTAATACCATTAGCTCACAGACATTTACCTTCCCCTCCCCCTTCCACATCCCCCTTCTGTTCTGAAATTTGATTTGTCCTTTTCATATGTGTTCATTTTTTTTAATTGTATCCTTTGGTATGTATGGTTGTGACTATTTTCTTCCACTATTTGATCTGAGGAAGTGGGTCTGGCCCACGAAAGCTCATCATCTAATAAACCATCTTGTTAGTCTTTAAAGTGCTTATTTTCAAAGGCATCTATTTTTCTGTCTAATGTATGAGAAGATCTCCAGCTCTCACGGCCGTCTGTTAGCTCTGAGATTACATTTGAATTGAAATTTATTGGGTTTTTTTCTGGGACCCTATATCTTTGATTTCTATATGTTCCTGAATCTTCTGCAGTGTGACACTACACAGGATGAAAGAAGCCATGGATGCAAAGCTTCGAGAAGAACAGGTGGTATTCAGGCCCAAAAATAGATTGTATGCAGATTAGGGATGTAAATACCTGCTTTAAAAAGTTAAGAGGTTAAATAATATAATTTTAATGGTTTAACCGGTTAACCAGGGTCCAAACAGCAGGCGGGGGCTGCTCTGGCCAGCTGGGGTCCTGCGGCGTGGTGCTATGGGGCTGCTCCGGCCAACCAGGGTCCCACCATCTTTATATTATTAGTGCCTTTCAAAGTATTGTCAAACTTATGCATTCCACAGTCATGAGTCAGGCCACAAAAATCATGAGATTTCGAAAAAAATATACTCAGTTTGGGGTAGTTATTTTTTTCTTATTTGCCTTTGGTTTCTGACCTATTAGAGTCTGTTATATTTTTCCAGGCAACCATCAGGGCTAGAAACTTACTTAAAATGTTACTTCCTGACTCCAGCATCTGGAGCTTTAAGAAACACCAAAGGATTGTGAGATTTGCAACACGAGTGAGACGTGACAACTGTCCAGACCAAATGGAAGGATGGCGCTTGAGAAATATCTGCCTGGCCCTAAGGGACAAGCATAATGAGGCTAAGGATAGCCAGAGCTGCTAAACAATTTTGATGCTGGGACAGCACTGCATTGGCCAGGAGAAGACAAGTGATTCTGAACCAGAAGGAACGGGCCCTGCTCTTGTACATGCAAGAGTACATAGGGGAGGGCTGGGGGCAGTGGACTAGCCCGGTGCCATGGTTGTTGGTCAGTATCTGAGATTATGCTTGTAGCTCACCATGACTCAAAATCGTTTGTCAGGACTCGCATTAATTTCAATTGAAAGTACTGTTGCAAAAAATTTCGATTTTACACAATTATTGAAAGGCTACGGAGTGGCGGCCCGTCAATACTGGCGACCTAGGCGGTCACCTAGGGCACCAAGATAAATGGCCATTGAGGGCTTTGGAGGTGTGGGTGCCAATCACACGGTGATCGCGCGTTTCGCCTAGGACGCCTGTTGCTGGCAGCTCGTCTAGGGCCGCTCCTGAGGCTACAGAAGTATAAAAACCAGAAAAATTCAATTCATATAAATTCTTTTAATTCATGAGAAACTGGGCACACCGGAAGACACTAATGTTGTTCATTACAATGTATAGTTGCACCCAAATTGTTTATTAGTCTTTAAAGTGCTACATAGTCCTGTATTTTGTTTCAGTTACACCAGACTCACACGGCTACATTTCTATCCAAATTGTTGGTAATTGTGATTTGTTAAAATTAAATAAGTACACGAGTAGGGAATTGTTTTATTCACGAACTACACATTTTCTGTTTTCATTTTTTTTTCAATTTTAAACAAAACAAAACCAAACCACTGCAAAGTGCAAACGTGTAAAAGCCAACAAAAAAAGCGGCCAAAAATGTTTTGCTTGGGGCGGCAAAAACCCTAGAGCCGGCTGGCGCTGGCTGTAGCAACCCCCCTCCACACACAGCCCTAGTTCCAGTCCTATGGGGCGGAGGGGGAGCCCCGGGGAAGGAAGCGCAGCCCCTGCACCGCACGGCACCGGGACTGGCACCCCCGGAGAGCAACACCCCCCCCCCGGCTCATCGCAT